TCCTTCTAGTTGGGATGCAGCTCTCCTGAGCTTGTAGCAGGTGATCCTTGAATATCAACCAACGGTCTTGGGCCCCTCTGCCCTCTAGGGCTGTCTCCCATGGAACCTTACTAAGCAGGTTCCTGAAGAGGCTAAAGTCTGCTCTTTTGAAGTCCAGGGCAGTGAGCTTGCTGCATGCTCTCCTCACTGTCCTGAGGATCTCAAATTTGGCCATCTCATGATCGCTGCATCCAAGGCTTGTCTGGAGCATCACATTTCCAATGAGCCCTTCCCTGTTGGTGAGTACGAGGTCAAGCATGGCACCTCTCCTTGTCGGCTCCTCTATGACTTGCAGAAGGAAGTTTTCTTCCACACAATCGAGGAACCTGCTGGATTGCTTGTGCTGGGCCGTACCGTCCTTCCAACAGATGTCAGGGTGGTTGAAGTCACCCATGAGAACAAGGGCCTGTGAGCGTGAGGCTTTTGCTATCTGCCTATAGTGTGCTTCATCCACAGGTTCTCCTTGATCAGGTGGTCTGTAACAGATCCCCACAGTAATGTCTCCCATAGCTATATTCCCTTTAACCCTGACCCCCAAACTCTCTGTTAACTGCTCACCTGTCCCCAGACAGAGTTCCATACTCTCCAGCCTATCCCTAAGATAAAGGGCAACTGCACCTCCCCGCCTGCCAGGCCTGTCTTTTCTAAAGAGCCTGTAACCTTCCATTCCAACATTCCAGTCATAGGAGCCATCCCACCATGTTTCTGTGATTCCCCTTATATCATACCCCATAGATGTGCACGCATCTCTAATTCCTCTTGTTTGTTCCCCATGCTCCCGGCATTTGTATAGAGGCATTTGAGCCGAGCTCCACATGAAGCCGGCTCATTGGCTGGAGTGGCTGGGATATCTCTACATTGCTCCAGGCATTTATTATAGATTCTGGCAACTGACTGGGAGTGTTGGGATGGAATGATGCCCCCCTCCCTCAACAGAACTAGTTTAAAGCCTCCTTGACCAGTCTGGCAAGCCTCCTACCAAAACTGCTCTTTCCCTTCTTTATCATCAGACCAGCTCCACCAGCCCCCGCTAGACCTGGCCTACAAACTTGGGTCCCGTGTTCAAGACACCCAAACCCCTGACTATGACACCACCCTTTTAAGCAGTTATTAACCTGGCTAATCCTCCTGGCTTTTTTTAGGTCCTCCCCTGTATCCTGGAGAATTGACAAAAAGACTGCCTGGGCTCCAGAGCCCCCAACCACCTCCCCCAGGGCTCTGTAGTCCTTCTTTATGTTCCTCAGGCTACTACTGTCTATATCCCTAGCACCCACATGTATCACCAGGAGTGGGTAGTAGTCCGTGGGACTTACTAGAGCAGGCAGCCTCTCTTCCACATCCCTGATCCGTGCCCCCGGTAGGCAACACACCTCCCTTGAGATGGGGTCAGGCCAACAGACGAGTGCTTCTGTCCCTTTCAGTGTAGAGTCCCCTACTACTACGACCCACTGCTTTTTCCTGGCAGCACCAGTAGAGATCTTCTTTACCAGTGCATCAGCTGGCTGTTTCTGGCCCAAGTGCGTTTCCTCATTAGCCCCCTGCAGGACAGCAGAGCGGTTCTGCATGGGGACAGGGGATTTAGGGGGAAGCCCCTTGCTTTAGATTGTCCTTTTCCTTCTTTTTTTGTTGGTTTTTTTTTTTTGTCACTAATTCCCAGCTTCCTGGATTAATGGCCTCCTTCTTCATGAGCTAGAGGTGAAGCTCAAGGCCCCTGCACAGTTTGGGCCAGGAGAAAACATTCCTGCTTCCTCTCAGCTTCCCTGACATCTCGCAGTCTATTAACAGCATCCCGCAGCTCAACCCCTGCTGCAGGAGGACGTCCACCAGGGAGCACCGAGTGCAGCCTTCCCCATTGTGCACCCTCCCCTCAGGAGACCAGCGCAGGCACTCTCTACACTCCGAGCTCTGCACTGCAGCCTCCCCTCTCATCGGCTCTGTCTGGGTGCCTACGCTGCCAGCGCCGGGGCAGGCAGAGCAGAGCCCCCAGACGGGGCCCTGGTCATACGACGAGTGCTCACCATCCCGCTCGCCTGCCCACGCAAACTGCCTCGACCCGCTCCTGGTCGCTCGCGCTCCCTGGGGCAGGTTTTTACCCACTGAGGGCTGGTCCCACTGCTTCAGGCTCTGTCCCCTGTGAGGCCCTGCTGGCGTCAGCTGAGCTGCCGGCTCCCGGGCAGGTCCTGTTGAGGACTCAAGGCTCCCTCGGTGGCTCTCGCCGCTCTGAGTTGAGGCTCCTGGACGCTGATCTCCCCCCGCTCCAGTGTTGAAGGCATCCTCTCTCGAGCTACTCGCCTCACCTGGGGCTCTGTAGGTTGGCTATGGAGGGTTATGGGGCTTTATAGGTTGGTTATGGGGCTCTATAGGGTGGCTGTGGGGGTTATGGGGCTTCATAGGGTGGATGTGGGGGTTTATTGGGCTCTATAGGGTGGCTATGGGGATTATGGGGCTGTGTAGGTTGACTATGGAGGGTTATGGGGCTCTATAGGTTGGCTCTGGGGGTTATGGGGCTCCATAGGGTGGCTGTAGGGGGTTATGGGGCTCCATTTAGTGGCTCTGGGGGGTTATGGGCCTCTATAGGGTGGCTGTGGGGGGTTATGGGGTTTTATAGGGTGGCTGTGGGGGGTTATGGGGTTTTATAGGGTGGCTGTGGGGGGTTATTGGGCTCTATAGGGTGGCTGTGGGGGGTTATGGGGCTTTATAGGGTGGCTGTGGGGGTTATGGGGCTCTGTAGGGTGGCTATGGGGCTCTATAGAGTGGCTATGGAGGGTTATGGGGCTCTATAGGGTGGCTATGGGGGTTATGGGGCTTTATAGGTTGGCAGTGGGGATTATGGGGCTCTGTAGGGTGGCTATGGGGGTTATGGTGCTCTATAGGTAGGCTATGGGGGTTATGGGGCTTTATAGGTTGGCAGTGGGGATTATGGGGCTCTGTAGGGTGGCTATGGGGGTTATGGTGCTCTATAGGTAGGCTATGGGGGTTATGGGGCTCTATTGGTTAGTTATGGGGCTCTGTAGGGTGTCCATGGGCATTATGGGGTTCTGTAGGGTGGCTGTGGGTGGTTATGGGGCTCTCTAGTGTGTCTGTCAGGGGTTATCCGGCTTCATAGGGTGGCTGTGGGGGCTTATTGGGCTCTGTAGGGTGGCTGTGGAGGTTATGAGGCTCTGTAGGGTAGCTATGGAGGGTTATGGGGCACTCTAGGGTGGTTGTTGGGGGTTATGGGGTTCCATAGGGTGGCTATGGGGGTTATGGGGCACTCTAGGGTGGTTGTTGGGGGTTATGGGGTTCCATAGGGTGGCTATGGGGGTTATGGGGCTTCATAGGGTGGCTGTGGGGGTTTATTGGGCTCTATAGGTTGGCTGTGGGGGTTATGGTGCTCTATAGGGTGGCTATGGAGGGTTATGGACCTCTATAGGGTGGCCATGGACGTTACGGGTTTCTATAGGGTGGCTATGGGGGTTATGGGGCTCTCTAGGGTGGTTGTCGGGGGTTACGGGGCTCCATAGGGTGGCTATGGGGGTTATGGGGCTTCATAGGGTGGCTGTGGGGGTTTTGGGGGCTCTGTTGGTTGGCTGTTGGGATTATGGGGCTCTATAGGGTGGCTGTGGGGCTCTGTGGGGTTCCCATCGGTCTCTGTGGGGCTGAGGCTGCTGTGGGTCACCCCTCAGAAGAGGCCGCACTGGTTCTGGAATGGCTGCACTGGGTCCAGCCCCCTCTCACCCCCCCTATCGAGCCCCCGTAGAGACCTTACAGAGCCCCATAGAGCCCTATAGAGCTCCCTGGAGACCTATAGAGCCCCGTAGAGACTCGTAGAGCCCCATAGAGATCCTTAGAGCCCCCATAGAGACTCCATGGAGACCCTTAGGGCCCCTATAGAGACCCCATAGAGCCCCCCGAGAGACTCCATAGTGCCCCATAGACCCTTAGAGACCCCACAGAGACCCTTAGAGGCTGTATAGAGACCCCATAGGGCCCCCATAGGTACCCCATAGAGACCCATAGAGAACATAAAAGGCTGCCCCATAGGGACCCCGTCGATATCTGTAGCAACCCATGGACCCCTATAGAGACCCCATAGAGCCCCACAGAGTGCCTCATAGCCACCCCATAGCCCCCTGTGTTCAGCCTGCAGGTGCTGGTGGATGCCTAGGCCCAGATGCTGGAGCTGCAACTGGCCCCGGACCCCTTCTTTGGGGTTATGGGGATGGAGCTGCCGAGCCCCATAGCGCTGCCCCAGGTACTGCCCCATAGAGCCTGCGCCATAGCGCTGCCCAGGTACTACCCCATAGATCCTGCCGCTTAGCACTGCCCTAAGTACTGCCCCATAGCGCTGCCCCAGGTACTGCCCCATAGAGTCTGACCCATAGATCCTGCTCCAGGTACTGCCACATAGAGCCTGCCCCATAGTGCTGCCACAGGTACTGTTCCGTAGATCCTGCCCCATAAAGCCTGCCGCATAGCACTGCCACAGGTACTGCCCCATAGATCCCACTGTATAGATCCTGCCCCATCAATCCCTGCCATGTAGATCCCACCCCATAGTGCCTGCTTTAATGCCCACCCCAGCCCCACAGATTGTCCCCTTCAGCCCTAGATCTCTCTCCTTTGAGCCTCATAGATGCCCCATTGAGCCCCATAGATCTCAGTCCCACAGATCCCCCTTTTAGCCCCACAGCTTCCCCCTTCAGCCCCATAGATCCCCATTTACCCGCATCAGGTAAAGATCTGATCCTCCCACCTTGTGTATCCTGTGCACACCGTGTGTGTGCAGCCCAAGAGAGTTTGCCTGAGAACTGCCCCAGTCCTGAACCACTGCTGTGGGCAACCCAGGCAAGGAGATGGGCACAGCCCCAGACAGAGCAGGGACTGCGGAACCCCTGCCGCGCTGAATCAGTGCTGTGTGCGATGGTGACCAGGGTAAAAGGTGTGTCTGGGGGATTCAAGGGGTGGTCACAGAAGGAAACACTGCAGTGCAGACGTTTCCTGGCCCTGAGGATCAGTTCCCAAGATCTGGAGTACATCTTTGTGTGCTGTAAAATGTTACTGTATCTAAATGCAATTTGTCATTCTTGAATTGTGTGACATGGTAATGACTATGGAAATGATGAAAAGTCAGGTTTGGCACCCGTTTGATAGGTATATTCTTAATGCATACATAAGCTGAGATAAGCTCAAACAACGGCTGTCTTGCTTTAGTCCTTTGCAGGACATCTTGTTTCTATTCAGGTGGCTGCAATGAAACGAGGCTGGCTCCAATGTGCCATCAGGGTGCAGAGGCTTCCCTGGGACTCCCTCCTGCCATGCATCATTGATGTGTGATGCTAAAGCTGTTTGCATAGAGCACATGGGAACCAGACCTGAGCAAGGAAGGTCAAAGTGAAGTGAAAGCAGCAGAGCTCATCTCAAGCTTTGTTCACAGTTCTGCAACAGGAGCGTAAGTGGAAATTGGGATGGTTGTTAGGACCTTGCTCCTTTCTGATGTGAAAATTGTGCAATGAGGAATAACACTTTAAAGAATCTGGTGTTCTCTCTTGTAAGAGAAACAAATGAATCCAGGAATCCCATTCAAAGACCGTATCTCTCAGTGCATTGTTCTGCTCAGAAACATTATTGTCTGCGTTTTTGTTTTTCTTCTTTCCAGAGCTCTGTGGAGAAAGTGGTGGCTGGCTCTGTCTCCGTTCCTCAGGTGGTCCCATTTGGAATCCCTCTTCCAGGGAAGGCTAACCATGAAGGAGACACAAATGCTCTTGTAGAAATGAAATCAGGTCTGAGTAAGAGCTCTGAATCCAGGTAAAAACTTCTGTGTTCATGTGGAACATTGAGCCTCCAGACTTTGTTTGCATTTCATGATGATTTTTATGAGGGTGCATTTCATTAAGGAACTTAGAAAATTAACCACCATGTTTAAATACACCAACTCGACTTGCACTGAATTCTATGCATTCAAACAGTATTGCTGACATATGAGCTGTCTCATACATGGCAGCAGTCTCGATTGTTTTCAAGATCAAGTTCATAAGCCGTTGCATTTTGCTTTGACTGCAAAAACCAGTGTATGAAAGTACAGTATATTTGGTTAATTTCTCATCCACGTCCCCTTGTGCATCATTGGCCTTCACCCACAGCCCAGAGAGCTGGGCTTCCTCAGCCTGGAGAAGAAAAGGCTCCTTAAGGGGAGACCTCAGAGCAGCTCCCAGAGCCTAAAGGGGCTGTAGGAGACCTGGAGAAGGGCTTTGCACAAGGGCCTGTAGGGGCAGGACAAGGGGAATGGCTTGAACCTGCCAGAGGGGAGACTGAGATGAGCTCTTAGGCAGCAGTTCTTCCCTGTGAGGGTGCTGAGGCGCTGGCACAGGGTGCCCAGAGAAGCTATGGCTGCCCCATCCCTGGCAGTGTTCAAGGCCAGGTTGGACACAGGGGCTTGGAGCAAGCTGCTCCAGTGGATGGTGTCCCTGCCCATGGCAGGGGTTGGAACTGGATGAGCTTTAAGGTCCTTTCCAACACAAACCAGTCTGGGATTCTGTGACTTTGTTCAATACCTTTAGCACTGGATGTAATTCTTAAATGATGAGCAAAATGAACCATAGGTTCCTTCAAGTGCCAGATATGTTAGTAAGGCTAAGACTGGAAAAGTAAATTGTGTTTTCTTCACCAGTGTCAGGAAACCTGACCAAATTCAGGTTCCTCTTCATGCTGCAACAACAACCACAGCATCTTCAGGACCTGCGCATGCATCTTGTTCCAGTGCTAACTAGTGCGGTTAGTTAGTAACTACTGCTTGAGTCATAGCTATAGAATCATGCCTCAAACTTTGAACAGTGGCAGGTGTGGGCATATATGTAAGAGCACCATATTTGTACAGTGGTGCCTGTAACTGTCTTCTCTCTGGCTTTTTAATGTTACTGAAAACTAACTTAGTACCTTTCTGGCCTACTTCTAGTTGTCAGTAACGTCACTCTTTTCAGTTGTCTTCCTGTTTTCTCAATAGCCTTTGAGCTGTAAGGATCCGTACCAGCAGCTGTGGCTATCAGCTTCAATGTTTCTAGTGACTTTGCTGCTTCAGACTCTAACCAGGAAAATACTGAAAACCTCTTGAGAGCCTTAATGACATGATGTGATGTGGCTTTTTCCTCAGATGGCACCACGTCTTGAATGCAGACATCTGCTGCCAGTGACTACACCCACTTGCATTGGATGGGAGTCACCAATAGCTCCACAGATGCAGCCCCAAACCAACATCTGCATAAAGGTAATTGAGAATAAATCTAACAAAAGAGCACTTTACCTCCATGCATGCATGTTTCTAACAGGTGACTTCTGTAAAAATAGTTTGATCCAGCTTGGGTTGCTCTAATTGCATTGTGAGAGCTTTAAGGGTTAGTAGGATTCAAACCACCTTGACTAGAAATAATCATTAAAGGTAAACCGTGTAAGCTGAGGAAGGCATCTTGAAGAGCAAACGAGTCAGTTGTGTGAAAGACAGGACACGTGCACTTGTGTTCAGTAGGGAGGTATTCTGTGATTCTGTCATTTACAGCCTTAATATTACTGATCATTTTAAGTTTCTTAAATACGTCCTCATTACTCTGCTTCCCTGAGTTGATTGTAAGTGCTTGGCACAGATGGGCTGGCAGGACTGGGGCAGTGGGGAGATGCCCAAAAGGCTCAAGCGCCGCATTAGTGATCCAAAAGTGCTGGTGGGCCTAACTAGACAAAATCTGCCCTTCAGAATGCTCCTTACCCAAGGGTATTGGGACTCAGGTAGAGGCTGTCCTTCACCCTTGCAGTCAGGGAAAGGGTGTGAGAAGGAGTGAACTGATACTGCATGTCCACAACTGGTAGATTATAGGCACTGCCGCAGACTGGTGTTTTCTGGCAGTCCTGATGCAGGTGCAAAGGCAGGCCTGAACTATTTGGTGGCAACCATGAAAACAGCAGACTCATGATTCTCAGCTCTGGTGGAATCTGGCTTGTGAGATACAGTGACTGTGCATGGGCACCCTCATGGGGATAAGAATCATTTTCCTTGCAGACACTGGACTTGCTGCTTTGTGTGAGTGCAGTGGCTAAGCAAACTGGCACTAGTCTGTAGAAACATCTGGAGGTATTGATGCTGCATCTGCTGAGGGAACTGTACCGTAGTTTAAAATGAATTGTCAGCAGGATCCATGGATTTGTGATGGGCAGGCACTATGGCCTAACGAACACCTGAAGCCCACGGCACAGACTTGAAGGATCTCTTCTATCTGCAGGACTGAATAAGCACAGTACTTTGTAAGATCAAGTCCTCTTCTTATTAGTGTTGTTCACAATTTGCAGATACCATGTGAAATGCATTCTTTCTCTATTTAAAAGTGCAAAGTAATTTGTCAGGCATGTGGCACAGGAAATCTTCACCATAAACACTGTGTGACTTGTGCAAGCAAGCTGCTTGAAACACAGATGCTGAGGCTTCTTCCATCAGTCACAGTAGGGTTAATCAAATCAAAGCACAACATTCTTTTTCTCTGGAAAACTGAAGTCATAGCCCTGTGTCCCTGTTATAAAAGCAGAGATGCCCTCCCTCATGGGCTATTCAAGGCCCGTACTCCCACAGATCATCCATCACAAACGTCCAGCTAAACAGAAGCTTACGTTTGAGTTTCTCCTGTGGAATTCAGGATTGTTTGTGCCATTATGAAAGCTCAGAAGGCTCTTAGAAAATGGGTAGTCTTGGCTCCAAGGGAGTTTTTTTGTGTTCAGATTATTTTCTATTGCAGTAGAAAACTTGAGTGTCTACATCAAGAAGGCAATTTTTGTGGTTTTCAATTATTTTGTGAAAATATTTTTTCATACTATTCTTTTAATCTCCATTTGCATCTCCATCTCTACGTGCATACAGCTCCTCTACTTGGATTTGGCTGTGAGCGTGTAATGGATGGGAAGCTCGCTGAGAGTTGATTCCCTCTCATGACAGAGACATAACACAGTGTGATTTTGTCACAGTGTGTTTCGCAGAGTGCATATGTATATGTTCATGGTGACTGTTTGTCAGAAAGAGGCAGGAAACCATGAGGGTGCAGCTGTTTTAAGAGCTTCCCACTTGGGCAGGCCGGCCAAGAGCCTGGCCAATGCTCTGGGTGTGGCCAACACTGAGATGATGAGAAACTGCACGGCCCAACGAGTAAACAGTGACAGCTGGCATAAAGCCCCTTGTGTTTCTAAGGGCATAAAAGCAGGAGCCTCTTGTAGCCAAATCTGAGGCCTCACCTGTGGGTGGATGGACCTTGTAGGAACTTTCCCAGTAACCTGAGACTCCCAGCATCAGCTGTAACAGGGCTTTCCAGCTGAAGTGTGGGCCTGGAGGATGGTTGGGTTCTGACTGCTGCTGTGTTTCTTCAGTCTCTGTTCTCTCTATGCAGTACTGACGTGGTGCATTGCCAGTTGTCCTCTGTACTTTACTTATATTTTTATACACAATTTGTATTATTTTACTTATTTACTATAGAGGGATATCTGCCCAGTTTGCTTTAGTGTGCTTGTTTCATCCACTGCATGATACATAGCTAGGGTGTGATCGTTTTGTTGAGTACCCTGCCTGTCAGCAGAACACTTGTGTACCCAGCAACCTCCCTGCCTCTCTTACAGACACCAGGTCCTGCTGCTTTCCACAAGGTGGAGCTGGACATCTATGGAAAAGGACCTACCATGTATGTACACGATGGAACCAAAAGCAGCCTTGGAGGAGACAAAGCAGGGAAGCCAGGGCCAGCAGACTACTGCCCAGGAAAGGTAAGGCAGCCTGCCCACATCTCCTCCTCTGCTTCGCAACTACCAGCCTTTGAGCATCCCCACCTTCTGTTGGGGCTTCTGAGAGCACACAACCACCTTAGCGCAGTGACCAGTCACAGGACAGCAGGCCTGCTCTCCTGTCTTGGCCCAAAGCTGAGCAGAGGGAGGCCAAGGAACACATCTTTGCCTCTCCACTAGCTCAGCTGTTAATTAATCTCAGCTATAAACATCATGCAGGCATGGGCTTAACTTTATTGATGTTTGCACATAGACCTGCAACAAAATAAAGTGATTGAAATTGAGTGAAGTTTCTGTCAAGTGACAGCAAAACATAAAATAAAGCAGTGTGAGGAGGGGCATCTGTAGCAAGGATGGATTTTATTGTTTAAGTGAAAATCGGATGTTATGGGCCAGTGGTGCCCTGTGGCAGCTTCTCACAGCTGCAGCTAAATGACAGCTGACACAAAGGGCTGTGAGCAGCTGTAGCCTGTTAGGAGCAAGTGGAAGTGAAGCCAGAGTTAGTGTATGTAAGGAATGGAAGGAGAGCAAAGACAACTCCTAATTCAAGGGTATTGCCAAAGGTTAATGTTGCTAATTCAGGCTGTGGCTGATGACAAAGGCCGTGGAAGCAGTCCTGGCTCAGCTGGAGGAGTTCACCATTGATTGCTCACATGCATGGTGTGTTTGGGTCACTCCTAATGCTGTCTCTTGTAAAGCCAGTTTGCTTCAGATGTCAAAGGGAGGAATAGCAGAAATGTATGAGGACTTGAAAGGTGAACAGTGGAAGGGAGCTCAAATTATCTACCTGTGAAAAGGATGAAAAGGTAAATATTAAGATAACAAAAGATCCAAGTGATCTGAGTTTTTTTTCTTTCTCCACCTGTGTTTCTCTGAGAAAATAATATGCTCCCCAACATAGAGCTTTCAAAGAAGTGTGTTGGTTAACCGGTGCGTGGAACCAGCTGTGGAGTGTGGCAGACATGCAGATATGACTAGCATAAGCAACTGTGATTGCTCAGAGACCTTACTGTTTCTGTTGAGTCATTCTTCTGGGTACTGTGGACCCAGGTGTAGCAGGGATGCTTTATCAGAAATGAGTTGATATGAATCCACCCTACCAGTAGTTCAGTTTTATTAGAAATGAAGGTCACTGAACATTGGCTGGTCAAGGGAATATTAGCCTCGAACTTGTCCAGACCTTGAGAAAACTTCATAAGTAGTGATCACATTCTTGCCTGGTTCATATTTGCATGACTGTACTGAACTCCCCAGCTGCAGGTCTGTCCATAAATTGCCCCCTGAGCTTTCTGTGATAATGAAATCAACACTTTAAATGTGGACTTTTTAACCATAACCTACTGATGTTGTCAGATCTGATACTCATACACAAAGTGGTTAGGACTTACCCTCTATTAATGGAAGTTTTTCCAAAATGTTTTGCTGGGTTTCTAGTGTAAGGAAAGCAATAGAAAACACTGTTGGCATATATTGCCCCTGCTCTGCAGCCCATTGAACCCCGAGGCAACTCTTACATGTCAACAGCAATAGAAATTACTACTAGAAAAACAGCACTAAGGGCCAGGTACTGGTGTAGGAAACCCCCTTGCTTCCAAAAACTGGTGATGTTTTTTCAAAATTTTTACAGTTTTCAGCAAATGATTTATCAGATGCCACAAGTTTAGGAATAATAGTAAGGTAAATGTGAATTACTGGATCAGAGAACCTGCAGTGTCTTGCAGGGCATGGAGAACTTTAATTTTACATCCAAAAGGGATAGGAAGTTTTATATTTATTTTTCTTGAACTTTGATACAAATTGTTATTGTTACAGAGCTTTTTTCCGGATCATATGATGCCTTTTCCAAGTGAGACCCATGCAGCTGTAAGCCACTCTGGGATATTACAGGTGTGTAATCTTTGAATGAAGATGAGCCAGCATAGCTTAGAATTTCTTATTGCCTGTTTTTTTTTTTTGAGAGCATAATTCTTTGCCACTGTTGGATCTGTTCCTAGGTTATGAATATCTCAAAATATGGTTAATATTTTTTTCCTCATGAGATATGAAGTGGTGTGTCCCTGCCAGACAGTTACTGTATGACCGCAGTTGGGAACTTACGCATTCTTTCAGAATCACGGAGTGTCAAAACAGAAGATGAAGTAGAAATGGTTAATGCCTTTCTTGGGTATTTCAGGTGAAAGACCCTGTTTCCTTAAAAAGGTGGAGTGCTGCAGTACTTGGCATATAGTTAACAGCAGGCATTGGTAGGATAATGAGGAAATGGTAATGTGATACAACCGGCTATAAAAAAAGGCTTAAAAGGTTAAACTTAATGAGTAGAAAATTCAGACTGACTAGTGTGATTTGTTAGCTGGAAGGCTACTGTAGCCTTTGGGAAAAAATAAAAAACGGTAGATCACTCAGTGTTAGTCATCTTTAAGTGGACACAAGATTTTAACTTACAGTGGGAATAGATTCACAGAATGACCATATCAGGGATCATCGTCTTACTTCCCAAAGGGGTGAAAAATGAGTAATAAAGGTGGAAACATACTCATCACTCTTGCTTGCTTGTCACTAGAAAAACTAATAGAAGAACTTTCACTGGTCTTAAGACAACAAGCCTATGTGTGAGTTTTGGGGATAAAGACTGGAAAGGCAACATAAGAACACAAGATTTTAAAGGTAAAACTAAAATATTAAAGCTAGGTTGTTGAGCGTTTTTTTTTAATCATATAATAAATTCTACTCTAGCATCTGCCAGTAAAGGAAAAACATTGAACAACCAATTCTCAAGACATTCCTCTGTATTAAAAAGTTATATTCTCATAAAAATGGATATTTAGTCAGGAGGTTAAGCTAACCCCAAATGGATTAAAAATGTTTCAAATTAAATATAATTGACACATACAGAACTAGATTCTGTAAATAATTTTTACAAACCTAAATAAAAAGAATGAATTTCTACAGATGCTGCATATCTAATGAAAATTGGTTCACTTTTGCTACCCAAATATCAAGTAGATTTTGCAGTGTACCATAAACATTTGATTTAGATGCTCTTGCCCATATACGATATACAGCGAATGTGCAGAGCTTGTGGGTAAGATTAAGAATCATTCTAAATAGGCAGTGGTTACACCCCATTTTGATAGATGGAAAAATCTGTTGTGAATGCTCCTCTGTTGCTGTTTTATGGTGCATTGTCTGTTTAATTGTATTTTGTTCAATAAGACTTAGGAGGCATGAGGCAGAGAATACCTTTGTGAATTGTGCAGTCCTCACGCATGTTTCAGCAGAAGCTGTTGGGTCAGTTGTTTACAGCCAGTCGCTATATCCTTGGAGACTTTCGTTAAGACAAGTTAACAGTCGTGGTTATTATTTGTGATGTGCTTGGTCAAGTATCAAGGGAGACATTAGTTTTAACAACTCAGTGCTTACAAGTGATTAAAAAATCACTTCTGATACTTTCATAGTTTTTTGTGGATTGAGCGGTGAGCGAGTAAAATATTTTTCAAGTATGTTTTTCTTGACTTTCATTGAAAGTGAGTATTTTGGCTGATCGCTTTAAGTCAGAACATCTGAATAGCCTCAGAACAAAAAAACAGTTTAACTGTCTGCTATCCATTTAGCATGTGCTAAGTGAAATTACTAGGTCTGACCTATATCAAATGTGTGTGCCGAAGAGCGGTTTGACCTGTAGCGTAAAAATAAAGTGTGTCACTATTAGAATTAGAAGCCATATTTATTAGAATATGGTTTCTCTGAGACGGCACTGTGTATACATGTCTAGTGGTAGGCGGTGTGGGTCATCTGGAAGACTTGCTGTAGGCTATCGTTGCAAATCCGGTGCTTAAAAACATTTCAGAAAGGAAGGTAGCATGAAGCTCTTAATCTGAGGCCTCTCTCATTCATGACAGCATTTCCAATGAATGGACTGCACAGCCTAGAGTGTTGTCA